AAAGGAGCCCAAAATGATGTACTATAAATACAATTGTGTCGAAAATGATGATCTCTTTAGTAAACTTGATTTAACAAAAGGAGTTGGTCGTGGTAGACCTGTAATTACTGATTTGTCTGTTGAACTACCAATATTGTATCCCCATGGACGACCTATTAAAAGGAAAAAAAGAAAAATTTAATCGATCTTCTTAAATATATACCTCCAGAACATCACAATTTTTATAGATCGCTTCAATCAGGAATCATTGAAGAACCAACTGGAGATTCAATTGAGTCTGACGATGAAAATGATTAATAAAACAATTTATTTATCTACCTACTTTATCGTTGCCTAGCCAACAACTGTATTACTTATTTTAATGTTAGTGTTAGCGCCAAAGTTGCCTACAAGTTTTTATCAAAAGTATCATTCACGTGTTCATATTTAATTTTTCTTTGTATAACTTTTAGTTAAAGTAATATCTTGTCTATTTACAAAATATATTAAAATGTTTTTACATCGAATGCTTTTTTTATTATCGCCAATTTACTTTACATCAACTTTCTGACTTATAATGAAGTATGGAACTGAACCACTCATATATAAAATGCATTCTGATTTGTTGTCGACAAGACACTCTGATCAAAAGATATTGAATTTTTGCCGTCGAGTTGATACAAATTTTATTTAACACTGATTTCGCGCAAGTAACTGACATTCAAAATCGTCGATCGTTTCAAACGTTGTTTCTAAAAAAACGGTTCATTCTACACAAAAATTGCTAATTAAAGTTTTTGTTTAAAATTCTCTCAACTACAATTTTTATTTGAATCATTTTTTTCTACGGCTTACGAATCGAATGATTATTCGATTTTTTCCGTTTTTCCCCCGTCCGAAAGGGATTTTAGGGTAAGCTTAGTGCCAAAAGTGGTAAACTTTTTTTTGCTCTTGTTTGAGGTTCTAAAATTGACATTCTTAGCAAAATTCAGCTTTTTAGTATGCTTTTTAGATATTCAGTAGCATTTTCGTCTCTGCCGACTGGAGTATAAAGTAACGTTGATAGAGGAAATAGCATTTTATTGTATTAAGTTTTATAATTCCCTGTTGCGTGATTCACCTTGTATCAAAGTGATACAACCTCCATCTACCTATCGGGCAATCCCAATCCAAAATCACATTGAAAATGCAACAGCGTATTTAAATCATAAATAATTTACGAATCGACTGCGAACGGTCACCTCACCACCAGCAGTAGGAAATGAATTTTCTATGTTCATCGTTCGTATCGTCCGAAGGTGCTTCTAAATCAATATGGGGCTTGGTATCTACCTCACGTGAACAAAATTATATAAGAGTCGAGCTATACTTGTTGATTTGTCATAAAAATCGATTATTTTTGGATGTGCCGTTACTCACCTATGCTGATGATGTTTGAACAGTTACGTGACGATAATATCATTAATTACGTTAACCCGGGCACTGATATATTACATTACTAACGGATGTAAATTGAAATTCGGCTATAGGGTGATACTTAAGCTTACTAACCTTAATACTAAAGAGAATCAGATTCAATCAATACTCAGCAATTACAAAATGTTCAGATAAGTGGAGAAACTGCTAAGGCCAGTCTTGTTTTTTAATTTTTTGAGCTTAACAGACTCTGTAAGGTACTTTACAATTTCTGTCCAATTTTTCTTATGGTTTTCCTCTCCAAACAAAACCATTTAGTTACTTACAAGTCCTTGCGAGTATGTTTTAACTATTTAGTTTTTGTGTTTTAACATGCTTTGCGTTTCGATCTTAACATTGCTCTGAAGATATTTACCAAGTAACAAAACAAAACAATTTGTTTAATTTTTATTTTGAGAAAGATTTCCAAAGTGGAAATCTAAACTTCAAATTAAATATATTTTCAACTAAAATTGTGCTTAATTCTCATTAAAGATAGTATTACTCGTCAACGCAGAGAGAAGAAAGAAGAGAAAAAGTATTCGGAGAGAAAGTGATGGATGATCGCCGGGAGTCGACTATGTGTTTAAAGGTAGTTAAAGGGAGTGCCAATTGTAGGATTTTTAAAGTCATTCCTAGTTTTAACATACTGTACATAACATTTAGTAATAATATACTATATAAGTTATGTAAGAAATGCATGACACTTGAGTAACAGAACAGTACAATCGACACAAACTCCCGAGGAAGAATGGCACTATACTGAGAAAACACTTACAAGAGTAACAGAAGACTACCTCAAACAAGATACACGAAAAAAGAACAAACCATGGATGACAGAAGAAATTCTAAACATGATGGACGAAAGAAGAAAATACAGAGGTAAAAATGAAACAACATACAAGAAAATACACAAGAATATCAGAATAAAGATCCAACAAGCCAAAGAAACCTGGCTAAGTGAAAGATGCCAAGAAATTGAAGAGTTGGAACAAAGACATGATACTTTCAATCTACATAAAAAAGTAAAAGAAACCGCTGGAATATTTAAACAAACTCCTACGTCTTTCATCGAAGATAAACATGGGAACCCGCTACTCAATATAGAAGATCAGACAGAATAGGAAAGAATACGTGGAAGAGATGTTTCAAGACCAAGAGAGGACGAACATTTACATGCAGGAGGCATCGACTGGACCTTATATCACAAAACAAGAAATTGTCAAAGCGGCAAATCAGTTAAAGAACGGAAAAGCTGTTGGAGAAGATAATATCCCAATTGAAATAATAAAGATATTACTAGACGAACACATCGAAGTAATGGAAGATATATTTAATAAAATATACGAAACAGGCATAATACCAAATGATTGGCTGACATCGGTATTTATACCACTACCAAAGAAGAGAAACTCCAAGAAATGTGAAGACCATAGGATTATGAGCCTGATGAATCATACGTTGAAGCTTTTCCTACGAGTAATACACAATAGAGTATACCATAAACTAGACGAACACACTGGTCAAACTCAGTTTGGTTTTAAGAATGGGTTCGGAACAAGAGAAGCGCTTTTTTTTAATACGTGTGCTAGTTAAAAGATGTAGAGATGTCGATTCTGATGTATACTTATGTTTTATAGACTTTCAGAAGGCGTTTGACCTGGTGAAACATGATAAACTAATAGATATTTTAAGGTCATGTAATATCGACGATAAAGACTTAAGGATCATTTTAAATCTCTACCAAGAACAAAAGGCTAAAATCAGAATAAAAAGCGAAACATCTGGAAAAATCAATATCGAGAAGGGAATAAGACAGGGATGTATCCTATCACCTTTGCTGTTCAATGTTTACTCTGAGAAGATATTTCAGAAAGCTTTGGAAGGCACCACGGATGGTATAATTATAAACGGGCAATGTATAAATAACCTGCGATATGCTGATGACACTGTCATACTGGCAGATAATGCTGAAGCCCTGCAGCGCTTAATGGACCGAGTAACGACAGCCTGTAGAGAATTTGGAATGAAATTGAATACAAAGAAGACAAAAACGATGGTCATCAGCAAGCACCAAAACAGAAGGGTGAAGGTCAATGTCGACGGAACAGATCTGGAAAGAGTAACAAGAAAAACGTTCCTTGGAAGTAATCTTGATGAAACTTGGGATCACTCACTAGAGATAAGAATACGCCTGGAAAAGGCACGTACAAGGTTTTAAAAAATGCAAAAAGTTCTATGCAACCGCCAGCTGGGCATTTCATTAAGAACTAGAATACTTAAGTGCTATGTTTTCTCCACCTTGCTCTATGGTGTTGAAGCCTGGACAATGACAGAAGCAACACAAAAAAGAATCCAAGCATTCGAACTCTGGTGTTACCGTAAAATGCTCAGAATATCCTACATGAGCCATACGACAAATGCGGAAGTCTTGCGGATGATGAATAAAGAAAGAGAGCTTATGCTTATAATGAAAGAACGGAAAACACAATATTTTGGTCACATCATAAGAAATCAAAAGTATAAACTGCTCCAACTTATAATCGAAGGCAAAGTCAATAGCAAAAGAGGACCAGGAAGAAGACGCAACTCTTGGCTTAAAAACCTACGGCAATGGACGAACATGACCTACACAGAACTATTCAAGGCTGCTACAAATAAGATTAAATGGGCAAATGTAATGGCCAACGCCCTTAAGGATAAGGCACCGTAAGAAGAAGACATAACATTTGGCTCTTTGTTTTGATGGTAGAATTACTGTTATCATTTTTTCATCCTTTCTCATTATTTTGTCTTTACAAAACATTTTAAAGCGGTTATATTTCCATCTCTTTAGTTGCTCCTCTACTAAATATTATCAAAATTCTTAGTTTTACAATCTTGGATTGCTTAGGATTGACCCTATTGTTAAACATTGCCGTTTTGAACTAACTTTCTCTCTTCTTTTTTTATAGTGATTATCTTCCAACAGAACTCCTAAGTTGCACTGTGGAAACTTGTAAAAGGCCAAATGGACCGTTTGAGGTTGATTTTGCTACATGAGACCGTTTCTGCTGTTGATATAATAAATATGGGAAACTACATAATGTTGTACCATATTTATGTCTGTAGTAACCTCGTACAACACAAAAGCACAAAAATAGTCTGGCCAATTAGCTTTACCAAGACCAAAAACTCAAAAAACACGTTTAGACTTAGGCTGTTTTATCGGTACACCAAAACCTAGAGATAGTGTTTTCTCTGTTATTTATCGACAAAATGTCTCAAAATTTGGACACGTTATCCAAAATTATGTTGCCTTTAAACTGATGTTTTACTTTTTTAATTTTTTTGAAAGTTCTTTTGAAATATCGGATTATGCAATTTAATGCAATTAATCACCTTAGCGGTGATCCAATACTTTGTTTCCCTTGGTTTTAAATAAGTTACTTTTATGTTGGGTTTCCAATCACGGTTAAGTTCATACTTAATAAAGAAAAAATAAAACTAACAACTGTAAATTAAGATACTACAGAACATTATAACGCGCGATAAAGTTAAAGGTACCTATATAAATAGAAATTTACCTGTTGCATCTTTTCAAAATCAAGGTATGGCCTCTGGATATGTGCATGTTTCATGTGCTTGGTTCTTTTTCTTGGTGAATCTTCATAGTGAAGCAGTTTGGCAGGCGGGCTCATCGACCGACCCTTGCTCGTTACAATTGATCTTCGTTCAGGTTTTACCGCTTCTAAAGGAGGTGACGTGCGGAACTGTACAGGAGTAGCCCGTGTGTACAAGAAGTGGTGCACCTGTAATATAATAAATACTTTGTCAATAAACTAAAGTATATAAAATAAGCAAGTAGTGTAGTCCCAGTAATATATATTGTAGAACGCTTTAAATGTGACGACACACCAGCAGTGTTTTAATTGCAAAGCAGTTCCTTAGTAGAGTGTTGTTTGCTGGAATATAATTATTTTGAATAATGATGTGGCGTTCGTAGAACAATGTGGTTGACAATTGTGGTGAACAACACTGATTATGTTGAAAGTGACAGTGCCAGTATCGGTGTGAATGTAATTCCCGAAAAAAAAGTACCCGTAAAGCAGATTTGAATGCATTTAAATGCTGACACACAGCAAGTATGTTACAACGTGTACAAAGATCTACATAAGAAATTCGGTTTCGATGAAAAACTATTGTTACAAGTAATTTTTGAATAAACAGAAATTCAGTGCGAAGAAAATACAGGATTGTAACGTTGACTACGACAAGAGCATCGAGCAATAAGACAAAAGAGGGAATGTAAAGGTAGTGGGGGTAAACATATTGATAGACAGGAAGTGCCATCTTGAGAGGCCACTTTAGACAAGGATAGACAGTCTCTTTCCTTGTTTAAGAAGTCAAATTTAGTTAGGTTATGTTATTGTTTGTCCCAACTGTCACATGAAATTTTATTTATATTGAAATCTTTTACCAATTGTGTCACTTTTTAGACTATTATAGTTAATATTTAATTAAAACTTTCTCGTCTGAAAAATATTTTATAGCTATTGTTAATAAGTGTTGGAAAATTTAAATTTAGCGCCTTTGCATTTCCGAATATGTCCGCCATCAGAGGCCACTTTTTTGGTCTCCTTTTCATAACGATTAGATTCCCTCTTTTATCTTTTTGTTCGATGGACAAGAGTATCTTCTTCTTAGAGTGCCATATCCCTACGGAACGTCGGCGACTACCATGCTTATAATATTGTTATACTGATCTCGGTCTTGCGCTACGTGTAGCAATTGGTCCGCTGTCAAACCTGTCCACTACAGCAAATTCCTCAACCAAGAGAGTTTCTTCCGTCCTATCCATTTCTTTCCTTCGATTTTACCGTTGAGAATTAGCCGAAGGAACTCATATCTTGGTCCTCTGATTATATGTACAAGATATTCTAGTTTACGCCTCTTAATAATATTTAATAGAGTTCGTTGATGTCCCATTCTTCGAAGAACTTCTTCGTTTCTGGTTCTGCTAGTCCATGGAATTTTTAGTATCCTTCGATACAACTACATCTCAAACGCCTCGATTTTATTCATGATATCGGCGTTTAAAGTCCAAGTTTCACATCCATACAAAAGTACAGACCACACGTAACATCTTGTAAACTTTTCACGGATTTCCAAATTTAATGAGTTATTGGATTATAGAGGCTTGAATTTTTGAAATGAGTTTCTTGCCTGTTCAATTCTACATCGAATTTCAAAGGATGGATCTAGATTTTGGGTAATCCAACATCCAAGGTATTTGAATCTCTGAACTCTCTGCAGCGGGTGTTGGTTTAATATCAGTTAGGTTGCGCCGATATCCACTTTACTGGTCACCATGTATTTAGTTTTATCGATATTTATCGACAGTCCCCAATTTGTGCATTCCATGTAAACTCTATTGATTAGCTCCTGAAGCTGAGTATGGCTGCTGAAAGCTGAGTTATACAAGAGTATAGAAGCTGATATTTTTGAAGATTGGTTTGAAAACTCATTGATCCCAAAACTGGAGCCAAATAGTGCAATAGTGCTTGATAACGCTTTCTATCATTCCTTCCACCGAATGTGAAGTTACTAAATAATGGGTTGTGATCAGTGGAAATGTCTCTTCAAGGGTAAGCCGCTACTAGCATATGCTAAGGGTCAAAAATGTTGATTACTCCGTATCATAAAGGGCGATATCAGGAATAACTCACCAATGCGGGAAACAGCAAATTTTTGGTTATCATTTATAAGACTTTGAAAATTCAAAATATATACTTTTTGATTCAGATTGTTGTGAAGCTTAGATTAGATTAGATAGGCCTTTCGGCCTATTCACTGCGACCGTTTCAGATCTATTGTGGTCCTCTAGTCCTAGATAACATTATCTAGCCTGACCCTCTTTATAAAGTCTAGTAGCTTCGAGACTGTACCATACCTTCCAGGCTCTTGAAGATACTTTTAAAAGATTAGAATGGGTACCATCTAAGGTACGCTGATGATATCGTATTGATAACTGATAAAAAAGAAGAATTATTTGAAATGATGAAAGAACTGGACGTAGAAGCTGGAAAGATAGGCCTTAATATGAATTACAGCAAGACCAAAACCATAACAAATACAGATGAAGACTTCACAATGAGAATCGGACAAGATGAAATAGAACAAGTTCAGGATTATATATATATATATATATATATATATATATATATATATATATATATATATATATATATATATATATATATATCTTGGTCAAACTATAAAACTTAACAAAGAGAACCAAACAGCAGAGATAAAGAGGTTTCAATTATCGTATTAATTCGTATCATAATTATCGTATATTAATTCACTTCATAGTCATATTGAATTTACAATAGAAACAGAACAAAATCAATCCATAAATTTTTTAGATTTAAAAATTAGCAGACTTCAGAACAAACATGACTTCTCAATATTTCATAAACCTACCCATACTGACACGACTATACACAATTCATCATCCCATCCAACACAACATAAACTGGCAGCTTATCATAGTATGTTACATAGATTAACAGAAATTCCGATGTCAAAATACAACTTTGAGACAGAATTAAATATAATTAAGCAAATAGCAGTAAACAACGGATACAACGAACAAACAATTAATAAAATGTTAAATCAAAAACTACACAAGAAAGCGCTAAAATTAGTATTTCCACCACCAGAGAAAAAACCCAGTACCTTCTGCTCGATTACATATACAGGCAAAATAACAACAAAAATTGCCAAACACATAAAAAAGAAAGGAATAACACCAGCTCTCCGAACAAATAACAATCTAGGCAAATATATTAAAAATAACAAGAGCCAAAATAAAAAACACTTAAATAGTGGTGTGTACAAACTTCAATGTGGCAACTGCCCAAAAACTTACATCGGTCAAACTGGTAGAAACTTTGATAAACGAATAACAGAACATAAAAGGGCTTCCAAGAATAGAACAACAGATTCGACATACGCACTTCACCTTCTAGATCATCATCATTCTTTTAATGACAAATTTAAAATTCTTCACATTCAAAATAAAGGCCTTAAGCTATCTTTGTTAGAATCTATGGAAATTAACAAATTAAAAAACACAGATATAATTCTGAATGACCAACTTGAGGCAAACAGTTCTCCCCTCCTCAACCTATTTCATTAGAGTCTATAAATTTGTAAACCCAAGCCAAATATAGATTACTTGAGAAAGGCAATCAGCCGAAACAGCTGTAGTGATAAGAGTTAAAATAAATTTTGTGGAAGTTTGAAAACAAAGTTTTCAGTGTTTTATTATTACATAAAATGAATTTCCATCAAGTAACGGTCGAATCCATCATTTATTTAAAACTAGATCGGTCTATTTGTTGGTAAGATACGATAATTTGTTTATTCCAAGTCGAAAAAATTAACAGGGTCTAATTTTTTGAAAAAAAAAATGGCAAGGATCTAGTCAAAGACTAATTCTCTTTTTGAAGACATATTTTATCACTGAAATGTAGCAATTTTCAACTTCCATTTTACTTATAACAATTAAGAAACGAAACGGGCGGCTTTCGATACCCTATTAACTATATTTTCAAGAAACGTTTATAATATTTAAAAGAAAACGCTTTTGTCTCGTCAAAAATGAATACTTAATAAAATTGAAGTCACTTTGACTGCACTTCATATCAACGGTCCGCGCAAAAAATTGTAATATCTCAGTGAAAATGAACCGATTTTGATATCTTTTTTAATCTGGGGTATTTTCAATATAATAGGTATAATCAATTCAATTTAATCAGGTATAATCAATGTTTCAGCTTGCTATTAATAAACTTAGTTTTTTTAGGTGGGATCCAGGACTATAATTGGCCTATAAGATCTACGATTTCTTCGTCTGATACCTTTCCTACCTTAGTAATAAAGTCGCCAATAATGAATGTAGCTTTCTGTTAGACAAAGATATAATACATACGCATACAATTAAAAACACTGTTTGTTTTTGCAAAATAATATTTATCGTATTCACGGTCATGAACACAATTTACAAAAATAAATTAGTATCACGCTTCAGATAGAATATCTCGTATACTGCATAGATAAGAAAATTAAATGGTAATTATTATTTATAGCACAGGCTTAATTTCAATTTTGGGCATTACCTCATCGTCCGACGAACCGGAATGTTCAATATGGTGTCCACCGTCTTCGCTACAACATTTTATATGGAACGGCGAACAAGGAGACGGAGATAAATTACTATATTGGGACATGTTCTCTTCGTTTTCGGGAGTATACCTGAAAAACAATATAAAAAATAAATACGAGAATTGTTGTTCGCTTAAGTATGAATTACAAATTCAAAGAGAATTGTTAAAATCACTTTAACTGCGCTTAGTATTGATTTACAAAGGTAGTAGTGAGGAAGACGAATAAATTATAAGCAACAAGTAATAACGTCGAAATTTATGAATATTGAATTTATAGTGCAAAGCATACAGGGGTATACAGGACACGCAAAAGCAGGAAAAGCTACTATGATCTTTAATCTTTGTAGGGCGGCATGGCATAATTTTAAAACGATCACAAACATAGCAACAGTTCTACAGTTATTTTTTTAAATGCAGTTACTAATTTTATTGAGAATAAGGCACAATTTAAGTTTAAAAAAAATTATTTTTTGACGTTTCAATTTCCACTTCAGAAATCGTTATTAAAATACAAAATATTGTTTTGTATTTTGAGAATTGTAATTGTAATTTTGTGGTAATTTTTGACAGACTTGTTCAACAGAGGTATTAATCCAATTTTGGTCAAATAAGTCAACTGTCAACGACATATCCTGGTGCAGATATCGGTTCAGACCATAACCCTGTAGTAACTGACATCAAAGTGAAGCTCAAAAAAGTCTAAGAAAGCCCGAAAACACCAAAATTAAATATCTCAATATCCAACAAAACATTAATAGAAAATGACTTAAGGCTGTTTTCGCAGTTATAGCATACTGTGATTTGAAGTGGGCGTGTCACTTACTTTTCTACACTGCTATGTCAGACCCTACGTGACTTCCTAATTTGAAATCTGTAGTTTGGATGTTTATTCAGTAGCGCCGGCCCACGGGTTGTTTAATGACAATAAATGCATTATTCTCCATTCAAATTAGTTTTGTCGGAATACTTTTTTTAGATTAATTATCGTAGATAATGTTTTAAAAAGAATTAATCACATTTTTAATTTATATGTCTTAGCTAAACATAGTATTAAATAAAAATTTGTGAAACGTGACTGCAAAAAACACCATGGTGTTTATTTATAATAAATTTAAAATAACATAAGAATATTATTATCAAAAAAATTACAATTTGTTGTCACAAACAAATAAACAATTTCGCAGTTATAGCTTGAAAATTATTTCAAGAAGTTATTTATTTGTCAGAGAAAACTGATATTAGCGTAGTAAAAATTAAACAAAAAATATTTTTATTTATCTATAAAAAATTGGTACCTGCGAAACCATCATAATAGTAAATGTATTTATCTGGCCAGTATTTCGAGGCGACGCACTGCGAGGAAAAAGTTCTCTGAATGGAATATACATTATTTTAATATATTTATAGGTTGCAGTTACATAAGAAAGTATCCAATTGATGAATAAAACACAAATCGTGGATAGTTATTTCATCATCATCAGTGGCATTACAGCTCGTCATGAGCCAAAGGCTTCTTCAGAACAATCTTCCATTCGCCTCTGCCTCTGGCAACTTTCTCCATGCTTTAACTCCGATGGATTTTAGATCATCCTCTATGTTATCTTGATACCTAAGTTTTGGTCTTCCTCTGGATCGTCTTCCCACTGGTCCTCTTCGGTCGAAAATTTTTCTGATCGTTTCATCTTCATCTCGCCTAATTACATGTCCTATCCATCAAAGGCGTACTAATTTAATAAATTTTACAACGTCAGGTACTACACCGGAAGAAGCATCGTAGTTTACTTTATACGATCTTTTTGACCAAGCACCATCAGCTATAACGGTTATTAACCCATTTCCGTCGGAATCTACTTCACCAATTTCTTTGGCTAAAGCTAATTCCTCCCGTCCAGCCTCTTCTAAGGAATCACAACGTGTTTGACCGATGATATCTGCAACTGTTTCCGTATGTTTTGCATACTGCCTGTAGGAAATCACAGGTATATTTAATGCAGCGTGCTGCTGCTGTATGTCTGAATAACCAGAACCATTCAAGTTCAGTGAATTGTTACCAGAATCCTATGTTGCTATCTCCTTTTCAATATTCCACATTTGACATTTAAAAGTCAATGTACTTATCAATACGTCCATTTTTTCTTTGATAATCTCCATATTAGAAAAGTTGCATGAAAATGGAGAATGATTATTCAAACCTTGAATAGATTTAATGAAAAAGTTTATGTCCACTATTCTTCTGCCTTCTACCGAAAAAGGTGGTTTTTGCGGAGAGGCAATCTCAACTGACTGAGAATGACAGCTATTACTAGAAATAACGATAGAACTTAAAGTATTTTCTGCAAATGATATTATTTGTTATTATTATTATTTAAGAGTAAAACATTGGTAATATTTTGACCATAAACAAATAATATGTAAGGTCATGAACCCTCTATTTACTTACTTTACGGTAAGTAAATAAAAAAAAGTAAAAAGGGTTACTTACGAATCGACACTACAACTAGGTAAAGTAGATGTTTCTGCTAATTCTTGATGGAATGAACCATGATACTATGAATAACAAGATAGGCTCTTCCCGTATCACAAAATCGGTCGTGTTCGCGAATGCCGTCATTGGAGAGTAGAATTTGAATTCTTGTTAAAGTGAAATGGGATTTGTCTGCATTCTGTAATGAAATTACTAGACGAAAATAAGTTAAGAGGTTCAATAATTACAATAATTGTACACATAGGGATATCTCCAAACTATTTATTAAAGATTATTTGTTGACACATACAAAAACTGACATTTCGAATGTTTCGAATATATATATATATATATATATATATATATATATATATATAATATATATATATATATATATTTATATACATATATCTATACAAGAATGAAAGAACTAAAATGGATTCTAATTCAAGCGAACTAACTGACCGTACCCATAGAGAAATAAAAATAAGACCGTACCGTACGTTCATGAGATTTGACGTCACTAATGCGATAACGATCAAGCTCAGCGACAATGATGAGGAACAAGTTTCACTATTAGATTTCAGTATTTTTTAGCAATTTTCTTCAAAGTTTGAATACGCTTTTCTCGATTATTACTGGACACAGAAAGGTGAAAAAAGAATCAACGATTACAGAAAAAAAAAACTCTTTCAACTGATGGGCGTGAAAAGTTTGGTTATAATAGAACGTTAAACAGTATAATCCAATTTTTCAACGGAAAATTCAAAAAAATAAAAAAGTAAAACCATCAGTTTAAAGGCAACATAATTTCGTATAATATGTCCAAATTTCGAGACATTTCGTCGGTAAATAACAGAAAAAATTTTGGTGCACCGATAAAACAGCCTTAAACAATGAGCTAAAGAAATCAATAAATGAAAACAACACAGAAATATGGAACACATTTAAAGATCTTACCTTGAAAGTAATAGAAAAATATTCAACAACGTTACACATTCACAAAAAACAACAATGGATGACTGATGAAATCCTGGAATTAATGGAGCAGAGAAGGAAACTGAAAGGTAACAAGACAGAATATAAGGAAAAACAGAAACCAATAAAACAAAAAATAAAGGTGGCTAAAGAAAAATGGATGGGGGATAAATGCAAGGAATTAATGTTTAAAAAAGTTAGAGAAGTAGCTGGCCTTTATTATAAGAAAACTCCACATAATATAACCGATTCGTCGGGAAAAATGATAATAGACGAACATGAAATTCGAACAACCTGGTGTAATTATATAAGTGAACTGTATAATAATGACAGACCCGAAGAACCGGAGACTTTAGTTGAAGGTGAAGGACCAGAAATACTAAAATCAGAAATACTGTATGCTATAAAGTTAGCAAAGAACAAGAAAGCCGTGGCCCTGATAACATACCGACAGAGATGGTTTATAAATGAGGAGAACATTGGAATACTGGTCAAACTTTTCAATGATGTTTATTCGACTGGTGATATCCCTGAAGATTGGTTAAAGTCCGAATTCATAACACTACCAAAAAAACAACGTCCGAAAAACTGTAGCGATTATAGAATGATAAGCCTTATGAGCCACACTTTGAAAATATTTCTACGCATCATCCACAGTAGAATCAGAGATAAATGTGAAGAAGATCAGGATGAAACACAATTTGGCTTCAGAAATGGACTGGGAACTCGGGACGCCCTCTTTGCACTAAATGTATTACTGCAGAAATGTCGAGATCAAAGGAAAGACGTCTTTGCTGTATTTATTGACTATGAAAAGGTCTTTGATCGAGTGCAGCATCACAAATTAATTACAATATTAAAAGATAAAGGAGTTGATAGTCAAGACATACGATTCATAGAAAAGTTATACTGGCGTCAATTGCATAAACGGAAAATCAACAGAAATATGTAAAATACAAAGAGGTGTCAGACAGGGTTGTATACTATCCCCACTGTTATTTAATTTATATTCAGATAGAATATTTAAAGAAGCGCTGCATAATTTGGAATGGGGCGTGAAGGTTAATGGAATTCTGATAAATACAATCAGATATGCAGACGATACAGTTATTTTAAGTGATGACATGAATGGATTACAATGCCTTTTAAATGCCATTGATACAGTGGGAAGAGAGTTTGGCCTAAACATAAACTGTTCAAAAACAAAACACATGGTGTTTAGCCGTTTAGCACATCAAGATGCACGATTATACGTTGATGGTCATATAATTAAAAGAGTGTCCAGTTTTATATCTTGGTTGCCATATTACTGAACAACTAGATCCAGATCAAGAGATAAAATGTAGAATCGAGATAGCCCGCACGACATTTTTAAAAATGAGGTCATTCTTCTGTAATGATAACTTGAAACTTCAACTTCGAAAGCGTATGGTTAAATGCTACATTTGGTCAGTCCTCTTATACGGTGTCGAAGCATGGACATTAAAAATATCCACCATTAATCGTCTGGAGGCCTTTGAAATGTGGCTGCACAGACGTATACTAAAAATCCCATGGACGGCTATGCTGACAAATGTGGCAGTCCTTGAGAGAGCAAATGCTGCTCGCGAGCTGCTTGATAACATCAAATGTAGAAAGATGGCCTATTTTGGAAACGCAGTAAGGGGAGACCGATATAATATTCTTCAACTTATTATGATGGGTAAAATCGAAGGACGCAGAGCAACTCTTTAGAATAGCTCGAGACAGAAGCAGTTTCGCCATGTTAATCGACAACGTCAAGGGGACTTGATAGGGCACGTTAAGAAGAAGAAGTCAACTGTGATAATTTTCACAAATTTTTATTTCAGAATTATTTGAAAAGGATTTCCGTTTGAAAATCGACACGTCAAAAGAAAATAAAAAATGGAATTTTCAAATATGAAAAATATATGAAAATCATGAATTTGTTGCTTGTGTGAGTCCATTTCAAATAGGTAAAGAAATAATAAATAAGACTTACAATCAATTTAATTTAACTATCCGACGACCGGTTTCGCTTTCTACAATATGCAAAGCATCTTCAGGTCTCGGTACAAAGTTAAACAAATGCTGAAATGATAAAAACCCATATTAGGGTGTTGTCTAATAAAGATAAACAAATTAGATGTTATAAATTACAACAATTATGCCAATATTACCTGTCTGTGGTTTTATTTAAATGATTGAGTTGAATAAAAGGTATAAATATTTTTTTAAAAAAGTTAAAAGGACAAGGTAAGGCCCACAAATTGTCATGAAATCTCTTCTATTGTAATAAATTAATGAATGAGCAAATAAATAAATGAAATAAAATAAAATAAAAAAAAAATAAAATAAAATAAAAAATAAAATAAAATAAAAAAATAAAATTTTAAAATAAAATTAAAATTATTAAAATTATAAAATTTTATTTTTTTTTTATTTTATTTCATTTATTTATTTGCTCATTCATTAATTCATTACAATAGAAGAGATTTTATGACAATTTGTGGGCCTTACCTTGTCCTTTTAACTTTTTTAAAAAAATATTTATACCTTTTATTCAACTCACTCATTTAAATAAAACCACAGACAGGTAATATTGGCATAATTATTGTAATTTATAACATCTAATTTGTTTATCTTTATTAGACAACATCCTAATATGGGTTTTTATCATTTCAGCATTTGTTTAACTTTGTACCGGGACCTGAAGATGCTTTGCATATTGTAGAAAGCGAAACCGGTCGTCGGATAGTTAAATTAAATTGATTGTGAGTAAGTCTTATTTATTATTTCTTTACCTATATATGAAAATATTTTAACATTTAATCGGTGTTGTACTTTTAATACGTACAGTGCCACTATGGGATTATATTTTTGCGGAAACTTTGAGCCAATTTTTTTTATTTGAAATTCTGAATATGTTTGAGCTATTGTACAGTACAGTATTATATATCTTTGTAAAGGTATTTTCTAATTATATTACTGCTTGTTTTTATATGTATACCACCATTTTATAGTTGTTGGTGTACTTTTATTACTTGTGTTGCATTCAGCAGCGTCATAATTTTGTTGTTGAATATATATTGTTATTGTTTTATGTATGTATTTTATTTCTTGGTTCCTAACAAGTTCCCTGAGAAAACAGTAACTCTGAATATTTGCTTTTTACCTTTAATTATTATTATGCCTTCGACCAGTAGAAAGATCAAGCTGATTAAGTTTCGTAGGTAAGTAAGTGTAATACTTAATATATTTATTATTTGTTTATATAATGTGTTGACCAAATTTATTTGATAATTAACTGTTGGTATCTTTCCTTGGGTTTGATCTCTGAACCTAAATATATTTCCTTATCTCTATTCTTTTCTAAGGTTTCTTAATTTTCTCCTTAACCCCAAAAAATTGAGTGGCGCCCTGTTTCTATCTTCTCTTATCTTTGGTAATTTTACCCGTCTATCTTTTTGTTTATTTCTGTATCTTTTCTAATATCTCTTATCCTATCTTTACTTATTTCATACGTTGGACCCATTCTCGGTTCCAAAAGCTAGTTTCGAACCCACGACTCGCTCTCCACCAACCATCTGGCTGCCGTCCGCAGTGTCTCCATTGGTGACCTTTCTAGCACCATCCAAAAAAAGGTTTCCGAGGTTACAAAGTATCATCGAGTATAACAAACACAAAGCTTATATCGACATATCCGACCAAATGAAAGCTTACAATTCTTCTTTGCGCCGTGGAGTAAAATGGTATAGAAAACTGGCTATCGAATTTATAGCTGGTTCCTGTATTGTAAACGCTTATGTGCTCAATTACCTCATAACTAAAGACAAACTGTCTATTACAAAATTTCGAGAAGAAGTGATCAAAGGTCTTCTAAAATCTGCAGATCTACCTTTGAGGACAACCAGATCCAGACATACAGACCAAGCCACAATCTTGAGGATAGTCAGAAGAAGAGGTCTTGTAGTGGATGCTACGCCAAAATTTCAAAGGAATCAGGGCGTCAAGTTGCCAAAAATAGGACCGCCAAAACCAAATTTAGATGCAACGTATGTCAAAAATAGATCGGCAGGTCGACAATAGATCAGCTTTTTACAGTAAAGCAAATCCTTAATAAAGCTTGGGAACACGATATTGATGTTCACAATATATTTGTCGACTTCAAACAGGCTTATGACTCCATAAATAGAAGCCGGTTATATAACATCATGGAAAGCTTCAATATTCCCTCGAAATATATCCGACTAGTAAAAGCAACGATGGACTCCACAATAGCAACTGTACGCATACAGTACGAATTAACTGACAGCTTCGAAATAGTTCAAGGGCTGAAACAAGGTGATGGACTAGCTCTAACACTGTTCAATCTGGCCCTTGAATATGTCATCAGAAAGCTGAATGTCGGAAGAGCCAATCTCCTAACAAACAAATCTGTCCAGCTCGCCGCATATGCGGATGACATTAACCTCATGTCCCGCAGAGTGGATGATGCAGCAGAAACATATTCGCAGCTGAAAAAAACGGTCAAGGAGATTGGACTTGAAATAAATATACAGAAGACAAAAATACTAACACAGACGCGGACAAAGCGAACAAGAAATCAAATAAAAGTAGAGGATGACATTGAAACAGTGAAGAGTTTTACTTATCTGGGAGTCGAAATGAATACGGAGGGAACAGAAGAGGCCTAAATTCAGAAGAGAATAATGAAGGGAAATAAAGCCTATTTTTCCCTGATTAACATATTCCGCTCCAAGACGGTACATCGAAAATCGAAACTTAAGGCCTACAAAACTATCATCAGACCGATAGTATGCTATGGATGCGAGACATGGGTCTACAAAACTATCATCAGACCGATAGTATGCTATGGATGCGAGACATGGGTTTTGACAGAAAGCACTAAACGAAGATTAGGGTTTTCGAGAGAAAAATCCTAAGGAAGATCTTTGGACCCATCACTCAAAATGGGATGTGGAGATCTAGATATAACCATGAATTCTACCAACTGTTCAAAGAAGCACCTATTGCAGAGTTCGCTAGAGTACAAAGGCTTCGATGGGCTGGTCATGTGGTACGGATGGATGCCGACAGATTGCCGAGAAAGTCCTTGGGTGGTAAAATGCAGGGCAGAAGACCAAAGGGAAGACCACGTAATAGATGGGAGAACGAAGTCACAGCAGATGCGCACAACTTATTGAACGTCAGGGCTTGGAGACGAGTGGCGCGGGATCGCCTTTGTTGGAGGCAGAAGTTACAGGAGGCCGAGGCTCAATTTGGGCTGTAGCGCCATTGGAAGAAGAAGAAGAAGTATGTCAAAAACACTTTTGTTTGCAATGTTTTTTGATTTACTTATTTCTGAATTACAATAGTTTTTTGCCAAAATTTTAGTTTTAGATTTATTTTTTCCCTCATAATTGTTTTTATACCTACACAATGGCCAACTGATCTCCCATTTTGTTCATCTCTACAAAAGATTTCCATATAGTTTACATTGAAATGTCGCATCAATGTTAAGCGATGGGGCCGTAAGTGATTTCTGGTCCGTCGGTTTACATTGATCCTCCACGGCCAGAAGGCATTAAAATGTTTAAGCAGAATGGGAGATCACGTTGATCCCCCATGCCACTATACGTGTTAGTCATACAGTATATTTAGGTTCAAAAAATCCAATAAACATAAAAAATTATTTTGTCCATTTGCACTTCAACCACAAAAATATAAAATAAATTAACTCACCTTCGATTCTGCGCATCTCCAATTTGAGACCACTTTCGTTTTTCAGCTAGACAAACCGATGCAGCCCTCAACGGCCTCGGAGGTGCCGTTGATCGTCTCATTTTACTATTGCTATTGATAACTTCCAACTCTTCTTCGGAGCTGTGAGCATCGTGTTGATCAGGAGCTGGACTTTCCATCGAACATCCTGTGTCTGCTGGTGATACGTTACAAACGCGTTCTGAACAGGATGCTGAAATAAAGAAGACTAACTGTAAAACTTTACTTACTTGAACAATATGAAAACACATAAAAAACATTACACTCGCGCTAACATATATTGTAGAACGCTTTAAACGCAGCGAAATCTTTACCTTTTTTACAACCACCAGATTTTAATTAGAATTTGTAGAGGTGTCAGAAAAGGGAATACAATCTCACCCAAACTATTTACTCTGGCGTTGGAAGACATTTTTAAATCTATAGACTGGAACAATAAAGGAATTTGTATAAACGGAAAATATTTAAATCATCTAAGATTCGCCTATGATGTACTCCTGATAGCAACAACTATGGAACAACTACGAATAATGATTTCAGACCTAGAAAAAACATCTTTTGAGAAAGGACTAAAAATGAATCTAAAGAAAACTAAAATAATGACTAATACATATGACAGATCAGTAATTACCATAGGTGGAACAAACATAGAACACGTCCAAGAATATATTTACTTAGGACAAGCTATCAGAGCAGACAAAAGTAACCAGACTAAAGAAATAACCAGAAGAATAAGAATGGGGTGGGCTGCATTCAGACAACTCTCATATACTATCAAAACCAAAAAATACCTTTAAAATTAAGAACGAAGGTATTTAATGAATGCGTCCTACCTGTTCTGGTGTCCAGACGTGGACGTGTACCAAGAGCAACTTAGAATAAAGAAAACTCAAATAGCTATGGAAAGACAAATGTTTGGAATATCGGTGAGAGATAAAAAGAGGAACGAGTGGATAAGATGCAAAACCGAAACACGAGACGCTGTCGAACATGCATTGAAATTAAAATGGAAATGGGCTGGGCATAATGAAAGATATCAGGATGGAAGATGGACTAAAGAAATTGGGCGCTGGAGATCATATACTGCAAAAAGGTCAAGAGGTGACCTTTGCGGTCATACCGCAAAGATGAGGTAGGTCCAATGTGGAAAAAACAAACAGAACACAGTGACAAATGGAAGAGGCCTATATTCAACACATGAATAGATTTTGGGCTATATATAGATAGATAGACAACCACCGGATGTCTGTGTAAAGCGTTTTAGTTGAAAAGCAGTTCGTTTAGTAGAGTGTAGGGTGTTGCATGCTGAAATTTATCCGTGGGATAATATCGTTGAAAATATTGCGTACGGTCACAAAACTGATTTTGCAGAAAGTGCCAGTGTTGGTGTGAATGTAATTCTTGAAAAAAATAAATAACTCGTAAAGAAGAATTGAATGCATTTAAATGCTGAAACACGGTATGTTTCACTGTGTACAAAGATCTACGTAAGTAATTCGGTTTCAATGAAAAATTGTTGGTCCAGGCACTTTCTGATTTAGCAGAAATTCCACTTTCTGTATATAACTGTATACAAAATAGTCAAAAATGAATCCTATCATTGCAAGAAGCGATATGACTAGAAATTTGCAAGACTTATAGATGCTTCACTTACAAAAATGATTGAAAACCACAATATACGATTGCTACAGAAGGAATGAAATAGCTATAACAGAAATATTAGGAAAGAAATACGAAAAACCGGTCAGAACATGAATTGCTGTGGTTAAACTCTTCAAAATTGGATAAAGAAAACGAGCTTTTAGGAGTTGCTACCTTACAGAGACTACGTCTCAGCGGCAGCAACCCCAGTTTGGAAGTTTTAGGTTGTCATGAAGTAAATTCTGTTTAAAACTTTAACATCCTATAATATTATCAGCAACACTGATTATTAAAGTCATTCCGGACACGTCGTGTGATGTAGCCCGAAACGGTTCTTTTAAATAAATATACATTTTTATAAAGGGTTTTTTAAATAAAATTTTATGGTATTGCAGCCGACTACAGGAAATTCATTTTCCTTGTGGATTTTAAAAAATAAATATGTTTAGTGACATATTTAATTAGCAGAATAACCAGCCACCGCACTATATCTTAAAGCAGAACTATCAAAACCTGCGTTCTACTACATTTCTTACTTATACTATACTTATGAGGAAAGATGAAGTTAAACCTTTCTACTAGAAGTCTCTAGTAGCATACTTTGGTAATTATTTTTCCTATAATTGCCATAGTAGTCGGTTCGTTTTGATTTCGTTCGAGTCTTCTTACAAACTCTCTCTGAAGACGGACAGACCAGAAACACGTGTTAGAGAATGGTAGGAGACTCAAATACTGTAAAAATAGAAAAAAGAGATGAATTGCTGAACTTATGGAAGACTTGGAAGTAAAAAGCAAGAAGACATTACAGATTCTCGGTAAATCTATTTCCCCCCTCCCCCCAAGGGAGATGGTTTAATGGGGAAGCCAGGTGGTAGGAGTGGCAAACTCTTTTGCATATTTTTTGGGTCCCAAAATTGGCATTTTCGGCAAAATTCAATTAAATTTCTGTAATTAATGAATTTTTTTGTTGAGTTGTCCCATTATCTGCAACTGAAAGGACCAGATTTAATTATCCATAAATTTTCATAGTTTAATTGGGGACACTTGCCTACCCCAGTTAATACGAGTATACTACTTCGCTTTATCTTTATTTAAAGTTTTTTAAATTTGCTGGTTCTGTATTAAACCCAATAACAAAAGACAGCATTATGATGCTGTAAATGACAAGACACCACCAACCGTACCCCCTTGGTCCATATTAGGTAGCTTTCATATTTATTTCAATCTAATCGATTAGACTGAAGTATATTTATTAACTAGAGAAGAAAGTCTGCCAAAAATGTAGGTCAAATATAAGCAATCATTACAACATAAACGTTTCCGTGCTTCGTATTACTTGAGAAAAAAAAGCAGAAGTAATTACAGCTAATTGCGTTAATTGAAAGTGCACTTTAATAACAATGATTTTCATTGTGTCATAGAACCATAAATCCTACCATTTACACTGGTAATAAATAAATACTGTGTTTTAAGATTCGCACACTAGATTGTAGACTTTAGTTATTAGTTTAATTTAATTTATAACTTCGGTGGTGTTGGCCGTGGGGTGAATCGAGATGAAGACAGGTTAGTAAGTAGATAGGTAGATAGATAGATAGATAGATAGATAGATAGATAGATAGATAGATAGATAGTTTATTTGACTGTAAGTTACAACTAGGTTTACAGCAAATCAAAACTAAAATTATAAATATTAAATATTACAAAAAATGGAAACAATACATTAAAAATATTTAAGACATTAAAATACTTAAAAAACGTACAATATAGACATATAATACAGATACAGCCTCGTAATATTCACCTAATGTATAAGGACACATGGTCACTAGGTACTCTTTGACTTGGTTTTTAAAAGCTGTAGTTGAATTAATGTTTTTAAAATTTTGAGGAAGTTGATTATACAATTGTAAACCACAGATAGTAGATGACTTCCTGCTTATTTCTAAATGTCGATAGGGTACTACAAACTGTCTCTTATTTCTTGTGTTGTGTGAGTGAATATCACTGTTACATAAAAAAGTTCTTTTATTTTTATGAATTAGTATCAATAATTCCGAAATGTAAATTCCATACACTGTTAATATATTCAAATCTCTAAATAGATTTTTACAAGACCAACCATACGGAACACCTGCTATACATCTGACAATACGTTTTTGGGCCTTGAAAACGTCCTTTACACTAGAAGAACCACCCCAGACAGTTATACCGTAACTTATTGTCGATTGTACCTCAGCAAAATAAAAAAGACGAAGGTGTTGCAGACTAAGTATTCTATCAGAGAAGGTCTTCAGAGAGTTTGTTATTTTATCTTGTAAAAAATTTGTCTTTATCGCGATATAGCATTGTTGAGTCATCCGCATAAACTGATACAAATGCATCAGGCATTACATGTGGTAGTTCATTAATATACAAAATAAATAATATAGGGCCCAATATTGAGCCCTGTGGTACTCCATTCTTATTAATAATCGGATCAGACATTGAAATATTGAAGTTATTTTTCAGTTTAACTATTTGGTGCCGGTCTTTCAGATAGGAAACAAACCAACTATGGGCAACTCCCCTAACACCATATCTGTACAATCTATCGAGGAGCACATCGTGTTGCACACAATCAAATGCACGACTGAGATCACAAAAAATGGCAGTTGGATTTTCACTGTTCTCAATTGAGAGTAAGACTTCCTCATAAAAACTGTTAATGGCTGTGGAAGTAGAAAATTTATTTCGAAATCCATGTTGATGCTTTGTGATAATTTGGTTGATATCTAAAAATAATAAAAGTTGTTTTAGCATTGCGTATTCAATAATCTTAGATATCACAGATGGAACAGACAATGGTCGAAAATTTGACATTAATTCAGGATCACCTTGTTTTAATACCGGTGAAATGATAGAAGTTTTCAGCATATTGGGAAAAACACCAGTATTGAAAGAAGCATTTATAATGTGAGTCAGTGGTGTCAAAATTTGAGACGCAATTTTCTTAATTACTATACCTGATATTTCATCAAAACCACACGATGCTTTGTTTTTAATTTTATATTTTATTATATGTAAGACATCTTCCTCTGTTACATAAGATAGGAACAAACTAGTTTGAACAAAATCATTGGAATGCTGAAAATTTAAATTTGGTTTAATTATTTTACTTATTATATCCACTGGTGCATCTATAAAGTAATCATTAAATTTGTTTGATATTATATCTGAATCTGTAATCCTAATATCATCTATTTTTAGACAGATATTTTTGTGATTTTTTTGTTTTCCATTAAGTTCATTTATAACAGCCCATGTGGTTTTGTTTTTGTTAGAGGATTTAGAGATTTTGTTAAAATAAAATTGACTCTTTGTGGCCTCAACAAGAACTTTGTGCTGATATTTTTTTTGTCTATGTAGAGTTTTTAGCTCAGGGTAAGTCTTACTCAATATATACAAATCCTTCAGACTATCTGAAGAAGATTTTACTTCTTGGGTGACCCATGTATTTTTTTTGTTTTGGTAATGTTTGGTTTCTCTAATAGGACAACTAATATTGAAATA